CCTGACGTGACGCCCTGACGTGACGCCCTGACGTGACGCCCTGACGTCCTGACGTGACGTCCTGGTTGGTCTGTGCAACTTTTCCAAAACCCAGAGAGACGTCTGGAGTCTAAACAGCTGCAGATATCTTTGCTGATTCTAAATGACTCTGGTGCATCGGCAGCTTTCGCTCGGTTTGTTTGAGCTGATGTGAAAACCACTGACGCCGCTTCACGAAGGAAAACGTTTTCTTCGTCGTGGAAAAAAAAGGGTCTGCCCACAGATGCACTGTGTGAATGTAAGAGAGTTTGAGTGGTCGTCATATATAAAAACAGACCATTTACCATTTACTCACAGTCAGGGTCGAAGGGATCAGACCCGTCTTCGCTTCTGTCGGAGTCGTCGTTGTCGTCGTCCGAGTCGTCGTTGTTGTCATCGTCATTATCGTCGTCGTCGCTGTTGCCTTCAAGAAGATCTGCGATCTGTGGAGAAGAGATGGAAAAAAAACTTTACTGGGGAACAGAAACAAACGAGACGGAGCAAGAAGCATCTGAACCGAGGACTGATTTTACTGAGCGACAGCGCCCTCTGCTGCCACACACGGTGATTCATTCTGCTGGTTTAAGAGGACGAGACGGACAGAAAACAGAAACACGTCCTGCGTCTCCTGAGTCCACAGCTCTGCTACCTCTTCGTCTGTGGGCAAGTAGGCCCCGTCTTCTTGATTCTCTCTGTTGTTCAGTTCCTCGATGAGCGGGTCCGTGTCCATGTCGTCGTCGTCGTCATCGTCGTCTGTGTCTGACGAATCGTCGTCGTCCTGATCTTCATCATCCTGGAAGAGAACAAGACACATTAAAAACTCCAGAGTTCATCTCTGGAAACAAGTTGGACTCAGTTCAGTGTTTCTCACCTGGTCGTGTTCGTCTCCCTCCTCGGCCAGTTTCTGTCGTCCCACCTCGTAGAGACGACACACCGTGTCCAAACTCACCGTGTCCTGGTTCTGCACATTCACAAAAGACACTGTCGGTAAATCTGTGGTTTCAGATCTTCCTCCCGGAGACTTTTCTCTAAGACCTTCTCCTCTCTGTTGTTAATGTGACGGAACATTTTTTCTGCCTCAACTTGACAATGAAGATCGTTTTACTCAGACCAGTTGAAGAACGGATTATTTTCATGAATGTAGAATTATCGAAAAGAAAATCAACATGAGCCTTTATCATCTTATCTGTCTTCTCTTCACATTTTATACAAGATCAAACTTTTGAGTCAGATGAAGTCGACAAGAGGATAAAATAGAAAAAGGAAAGATCAAATAAAATAAAAACATTTAGAATATGTTCATAATATCGTTTGTATAGAAATGTTATTGTTGAGGTTTTCATTTGTCTTTTATTGATGTATTTGTATTTTTCTCTGAGCTGATCAAAACAAACTTCAAGCAGCTTTAAATCCTGAGGCGACGTGAAACACTGACGTGGTCATTTTGTTCTAATCAAGACATTCAAGAGACGGTTTAATTCCACGAGACCCGTGTCATTTCAGATGAGGTTGTTATAATCTGTATTAACGTCAACTTACCTCGATCACGGCCAGGTAACAGTCCTTGTTGTCAGTGCACAGGTCAAAGATGTTCCTCTTCACGTCCACTGTGGCTGAAAGAAGGAAAAACAAAAAACAGATGTCAGTTATAAATTGAAGGCAGAGTGTAAATTTAAAAAAGATCTGGTGGATGTGAAGACGAGCAGCCTACCAATGGGTTTGTAGTCTGTGGCGTCAAAGGTTCTGAAGGACGAACCGAAGGGACTCTTCATCTGCTGATCCATCACATCATCCTCATCATCGGCTTGTAGCATTGCTGCACGTGTGTGTGTGTGTGTGTGTGTGTGTGTGTGTGTGGAAAGGAAGAAGAACACAACTGGTAGTTACACACGTAATAAACCCGACGACGCAGCGTGATGTTGAAGACGATCACAGAGAAACTGACACAAACTTAATCAGTTTTGAGTAAATGACTGGAGTGGCCGCACTGCTGCTGCGACTGAAACTTAATCACTTCCTCTTCGACTCCAAGTGGCAACTGATCAAAAGTGGAAGAAATTCCCTCAAGACGTCTCGAGTCACATTCAAGAGGCCAAGACCATGTTCCTCTGAAGCCACCGTGACCTCGATGGTGCAGAGGCATAAAAACACGTTCCCCGTCTTCACAGGTGCGTTTTTTTCTTTACCTCCGTACATGATGGTGGCGTTGCTGTTGAAGACGAGTCTGCACTGGTCGAGGGCGGGGACTGTGTGCAGGAGGTGGAAGGTCTTCAGGTCCCACTGACACCTGCTGTCAAGGCTGAGAACTGCACGACACCGTGAGACACTCCAGCTGAGGCAGAGCGCTGGTGGTTTATTCATATAGAATCATTCATATTCAGATTGTGTAAAAAAACCAGCAGGATACAATCTCAGTGTTGATGATGACCTCCAGGCTGTTGGGATGGAACACGCCGCTGATGTTCATGTTGAACTTGTCGAACTTATGGACGGCCCGTGACGCTCGAACGTCCCACAGCACGCCGTCGTTCAGCACCAGGTCATCCGTCGGGTTGAAGGTGGCGCAGTTCCTCTTGTAGTTATTGGCCAGGCCGGGGTCGTTCAGGGTCAGCGTCTTCTGCCCCGTCTGGATGTCGTAGATCTGCAGAAATAAAAACCGTTCGGAACAACAGAAATATAAAAGTGAGTCTTGTTAATGTTTTACAGCATTATAACGAAAGGGACGTTCAGTTGCTCTGATTCACGTCAGGAACGTTTCTGGTGACCTACGTGTGCGACCTGGTCTTTGGTGCCGATGACTCTGTCCTGAGAGAGTTTACTGAACTCAACGTAGTGATCATCTACAAAAGAGTTCCTGAGAATAGAGAGGAAACATTTCATTAACGTCAAAGCATCACTGTTCATAAAGAGAAAGAGTGTGTGTGTGTGTGTGTCTCTTACTTCATGCTAAAGACACCATCCACACTCCAGAGAGCAGACAAGGGGACGCTCCAAGAGGCAGAGGTGAGCAGCAGTTTTCCATCCTGACAAACAGAAACCATACTTTTATTTTTATTTTATTTGACTCATTTA